ATCTACTTCTGTTATCTTGTCTCTAAGTAGTATCCTACTAAATGGAGAAAAAAGATGAGTGAAAACTCAGAATTTACAGTCACTGGAGAATAGATGTCTAACCTTATGTTCGACAGGTTTCTTGATGCTTACTATTAACCATGCATATAATTAATGCAGATAAACATATTTGGAATTTTACCTGGAGGGGTACCACTTGAATAGCAGAGTCCAATTGTGGAAAATCTATTTTTCCCCTGAAATACTATCTCATACAAAGATATGCTATTGCCTATATGATGAAAAGCTTCCTTTATGAATAAGTGAGACACAATCATTTGAGACAATAGGGTGAATGTATCTTGTAAAGAAAGGGGGTAAAGTTGCATTTTGATTTTTTGACATGTAAATTTTGTTCAGCACTTGCCTTACGCTCTCGGTACCTACACATGTGATACATCATCGATCTCCTTTCTCAGAGGCTGAGGAAAGAGGACGAAGAAGGAAAAAGAAAAGAAAGAAGATGCAATACTAAGGCAACAGCTTAAAGGAAAACTTGGTGCTTTCACTGTTAATCTTGTACAAAATACTTTCTGTTCTTCTAGAATCAAGATAATGAAGAAGATTTAGTGAAACTGCATGAAAAAATGACTTTTAAAATGATTACAAGAAAAAAGAAATGTCTGAACAATGAAGGGCTTACCTCTATCCCTGAGAAGATTAAGTTTGGGGAATAGTGTGCGGTGGTCCTGGTGTTGTAGGCACTGTCATTTTTGTTTTTGACCCTGAGACTCACATTGAACTTATCGTTGTGGGACTTGACAATCAACAGGTCCTTCGCGGTTATGGATACATCCAAGCTAAGGTCTGAGATGCATTTTTCCTTGTTTCCACAATCTTTGGCAAAAGGAATCTGAAATTGTCACAGAAAATTACTTTTCACAATTTATTTTACCATCCTTGAAAGATAATTCATTATTTTTAGTAGCACCAGTGTCATATTGCCAAACCAAGACAAACAGCTTGTAAGAACACTAGATCTCACTACAGAAATGCTCTATATTTCTGCACATTCATTTCCGTAACATTAAAAAACAAAACAAAACCACAACTCACTGCCATTGAGTCAATGCCAACCCATAGCAACCCTGGGCGAAAGAGTAGAACTGCCCATGTGGGTTTCCAAGACTCTCTTTGTAAGAGTAGAAAGTCTTGTTTTTCTCCCACTGAGCAGTTGGTGGGTTTGAACTGCTGACCTTGCAGTTACCAGCCCAATATATAACCATTATTCTACTCGTGGTGGTGGTGGTGGTGGGTGTTTCTATAATATTGAGAGGAGAAAAATAAAAGCTTTACTTCTATACATATATTCTCCTAGACTTTTAATGATTGCATAATTTTATAGATGTTTCCCCACTGGCCTTAATTTACCACTGTAGAACAATTTCCAACAATCAAATCAAGTGCTCTATGTTCTAATAGATCAGATAGCACTTAACTCTCATTATAAATTTTTCTATTAAAACAATCAAAACCCAAATAGCGATGAATGCCGTGAAATTCAGTCGAAAGGTTTAACTTTAGCCAAGCTGGTGAGTTTATTTTGGTTTCATTTATTTATGTCTTACGGATGTCACAGACACTATCCCCTTATCTGTGCCACTTCCTCCTCCACATCGTGGCATTTTGGTTTCGAGTAGACCTTGGCCTCATGGCTGACTCTGCAGGTGTTTGAAATCCCAGTAGCATAGCTTCCAGCATCTTTGCAATACTCAAGGCACCACAGTATGACAAGGGGGTAGATGGCCTAGAAAGCTATGTCTGGCTCATGTTCTTCGGACATGCCAGCTGGAGTGATCCATTTCTAGAGAAGGACATCATGTTTGGTGAAATGGCGAGCTAACTAGGGAGTGTGAGATCTTTGGTGAGATGGGCTCAGGTAAGCATGTGTGAAAATGACACTGAGCTCAGCAGCATTTTGTCTGTTATTCATTCATGAGGTTGCTGTGAATTCGTCAATTAAATGGCAGCCAACAATAATATTTCAGCCTCAGTTGATGTGAACAAAATTCTCAATAAATATTTTTGGAGGGTAAGAGCGAAGGCAGAGAAGGAGGAAAGGTGCATGGGATAATGATTTTCACCTCTAATTGATTCCCTCATTGGGGCCAAACTTGTGGCCTACTCCGTTTTCTACTTTCTCATTCACTCTTTCTAAGAGATGGCGCGGTGGGTAGACAGGGCCTCGGAAGTGGGAATTCGAGAAGCTCAGCTCAGCTCTTGGCATCTCTCTGTTCCTAGAGTGAGCTGACTCTACACCCTGCTTTCCCTGACCCCTATCTCAGTGTGTGGAGTTGTGATCACTTCCTGCATGACTCAGGCAAACATATACTGCTGAGAATCATCCCACGGAAAGCTAACATCCTGCTACCCAGTGAGTCAAGAAAGACATCCTGGGAGCGGCCTAAGGCTTACTGAAACTTAGTCTTCTGTCTGCCCGCTCCGGGTCACAAACTCTCCCACAGCTATCCTGAAAGCTGAGTTAATGTAGAACATCTGTATGGGACTCCCCAAGAGTGTGAATTCCAATGCCCAAAATAGATTCTCTCTCCATCATGATAGCCTGTGTTGTGGTTGGATTTCCTGGTGGTGACCTCTTTGAATACACTTCTCTTTTTCCCTCTCACTTAGAGCGAATTAACGCACTCTGCTCCTCCGAGCACACCCTTATTGGTGGTAACTCCAGCCTCCTGCTGTTGGGGTGCCAGGGTGCCCGCAGGAGGAACACATTCTCCTCTGTTCTTCACGCTGAGAGTTTGGCAAGTTGGGTTCCCGTGAAAAAGGGCTGAGACTGATCAGCACTACTGGTGGCCTTCCTGGTCATCAGTGGCCGCTTCGTATGAGGCTGCTCAGCATGGACATATGCGTGAGCACGTGCGACAACCTAATCTATCAGTAAAAATGCAGGGATTTTAAATCTCCGGCTGGTGGCCTTTTATGTCTTTCTTTCCACTCATCCTGAATTTAAGCAAGGTGAAAATAGACGTCTCTGATTAAACTTCTCTTGAACTTCAACATCAGAAGTCAAAAGGATTAGGAAAAGTATAACATAATCTAAATATTTTCCTGGAGGAGTTGTTTATTTTAATTTTTTCTAATATGAATAAGCAAAAAGAGGTATTCCAAACTTTAGATATAAAGATCTGACTTACGTATTCATGTACCGAGTTTGGCAGGGAATCATCCAGTACGGGTCCATTTTCGGGATCAGTAAGATTAAAATCCAAAGTTATCCTCACAGAGTCCCGGAAGTCATGCTTGTCCTAAATATGGAAACATGAATCATTCTTATTGCATGCTCTGGCCTTATCATGGCTTCCTTCTTTTGCCTGTAGACAGTCTTGCGTATCTAAGCTGGTTTTGCATCACAGGAGAGGGGCTGACAATTGGCTCTGACGAGAACAACAGAGTGACACCAGCTGGAATGCGGGGCCCTCAGGGTCTGACCAGGTGACTCACTGGTAGCTCTTCAGGAGGGATGCATTGCACTACTCCTTGTCCTATCGGGGCCTGACACTCGGAGTTACTACAACAATAATACCATATCTCTTGAGAACAGATGCAAAGATTCACTCTGTGGTTTTGGCCAGAAGAAAGAAAAATCTGTGCTGGGAGAAGTACAGCCAGAATGCTCCTTAGAAGAGAGGCTGGTGGGGCTTTGGCTCTCAGACCGTGGCCACCAGGAGGCACCCATCTCTGGAGCAGGATAGCGTGCTTGTGAAGAGAGGCTCCGAGAAAAAGAGGAGCCCCCTCCAAGAGATGGGCTGGCATAGCGGACTGCCACAAGGCGCTCAATCATGAAACTTGTGAAGGTGGCACAGGACTTAGTCATATTTCATGTCGTTTTACATAAAGTCATTATGAGGACGAATCAATATCATGACATTAACAACCACAACAACACTATAAAAAATCCCTCCCAACTTCAGTTGGGCAAGCTTTCTTTATCCTGCGCTGCATTGCATTCATATAAGACACAGGTAGGGCTATAAGAAGTGTGCGTGTGAAAGTTGGACTTTGATAAGGAAGATCGAAGAAGAATCAATGTTTCAATTATGGTGCTGGGGAGGAACGCTGAAAGAACCGTGAACAAAAACTCAGTCTTGGAAAGGACAGCTAGAGTGCTCCTTAGAGGCAAGGGTGCCAAGACTTTGTCTCACATGCTTTGCACATGTTGCCAGGAGAGAGCAGTCCCCGGAGAAGGACATCGTACTTGGTAAAGTAGAGGGACAGCCCAAAAGAGGAAGGACTTCAATGAGACGGATTGGCACAGTGGCTGCAATAATGGGCTCAAGCACAGGACCAATTATGGTGGCGGGGAGGGCAGGGCAGTGTTTCCTTATATCGTACTCAGGGTTGCTGTGGGTCGGAACTGACTCAATGGTACCTAATGACAAAGTAAGAAGGGTATAATGTGAAATTATATATGTAAATTATGTGAATATAATTAATCCTATTAACACAATCATCAACAGCAGCTCTCATTTACTCAGTGCCCAGTATTTTGAGCTTTATATATATTTTTTCAACAATCCTACAAGGTGAATGACTATGGTGGCTTTTATTTTGCAGATGAAAAATATGAGCTTTGATGTCACGCAGAATATAAAACGGCAAGGATATAAATCGGAGCCTGACTGACTCCAGAAAAGATGATAAAAGCATCCACCATTAAAATTCAAAATAACTGTGAAAGTTTAAAAACGACTCACTTCTGTGAGATCTAACGTAGATCCCAAGTGTGGCCGTAATTACAAACCATAGTGGGTGCCAGCCGGTTGTCGATTATGCTGCATCTACTTTCACGGTGTTTCAAATGTTCTCCCGGTTCTAACTCCTTAATGGACAATTATTATTTACAGAAGTGGCAGGGAAACCCCAAGTTCATATTTTCCGATCCTGGACTGATCATAGGGTTGAGAGAGTGAATGATGTGGGTGTACCCACTGGGGACGGCTGAGATAAAAAGCATGGTAGGGGACTAAACAAGGTGCTTCCGGTGCCTGACTACATGTTTCCAAATACAGAACACGAATACATTTGGAATTTAGAAAGAAACCGGAAATGGGAAAAGCAGACTGTTCCCCCGAAAGTTCATGGTCGTGTTCATGTCTGTAAGTCTCAGTCACATTCCTTATGCTTTGTTACCTCACTACGGTCAGGCTGCTTTTGCTTTTATTAGTATCATATCCATATTAAGAAATTTTTACAATGGAAGAAACCCTTGGCCTTAATAGAGAACCTTCTTTATATACGAACTATCCTAACAAAATACATTCAAAATTGTTCAATCTAATCTACCATTCACCTCTAAACTAAACAAACAAATAAAAACTCTCACTGCCAGAGAGTTGACCTGCACTCACGGTGACCCTCTAGGATACAGTAGAAGTGCCCCTGTGAGTTTATGAGACAGTAACTCTTCACGGAAGTAGAAAGCACTATCTCTCTCTCCTGTAGATCTACTGGTGGTTCGAACTGCTGACCTCGCAGTTAAGCAGCCCAATTCATAACCACTACGTCACCAGGCCTCCTCTGCAATGAATAATTAGCTTTCCAAGGCTCACTTAACCACTAAAATTGAGAGAAACTAAAGAAGCACAAAGCCTACAGAGAATGGAAAACACCAGATATGTTTTTGTTTTGTTTATATAAATAAACAAACACAAAGTCAAACAGAAAGATTTAGGAAACAGGACATCCCAGAAAGCACACAGTTCAATACTCTGTCTTTAGGGCAAAGAACTATCCCCCGAATTTCGCAAAGGAGGCTCACCAAAGTTAAGTGAGGTTTTCAAACTGGAAGGATGAATGAATAGACCCAGCCTAATGTTAACTGTGCCTTTTACTATTTAATCCCATCTGGATGTCGGAAGCACAAGAGGCAAAACTAGAAATAATTTTACGAAATGTGTTTGGAAGTGAAACCTCAAATCTGCGATTTTTTGATATAAGTGAACTGACAAAATAAAGTTTACACTGTGGTGTGTTCTCTGGAACACAGCTGTCAGCATTGGGCTGACTTGAAATCAGATCGCTGTGTTGCCGGTTGGTGTGGAATAAAGTGGCAATAAGATATGATTTACTTGCCAACATGTAGAAGGAGTGCTTAGTGCATTCAGAGCCTCGAACTGTGATGTTTCTTTGAATCCTCCGTTCTTGAGTTCCAGAGAAGAAACTTCTTGAAATCTGTCTCAGTGAATCCAGTGTGACTCGGAACTGCAAATCTGTAAGCATTCAAAAGAAATCGACAGATGTATTTATTTGGAATGGCTTTTATACGGCACATATCATTAAATTAGCATGAATTTCACCAGAAAAGTTTCATGACCAATGTACACCATGGTAGTACAAGGATATGTAGCAATATGACTGTGACCTTGAGGCACTCTACGGCATTGCCTTCTGCATTCAATATGGTTTTGATATTAACTTATGCTTATTTTATACATGAACACACATAGATATTGTCTCATTTCTTGACCATGTTAGATTCTGATTACAGAGGTGATTTTGCTGGGTTTTCACTTGACGCTTTAAATATGTATATATGTATATATAATTTTAAAATGGTGGAATATTGTTTTGGATTTTGATTATATTTCAATAGAAACAAAAACATACTTTGATGATATTTTAATTTAAGTCTGTGAAAATACATAATTAAAAAAAAGATCATTTTATTGGGGGCTCTTACAACTCTTATAACAATCCATAACATCAATTGTATCAAGCATATTTGTACATATGTTACCATCATTCTTTTCTAGACACTTACTTTCTTTTGAGCCCTTGGTATCAGCTCCTCTCCCCAACTCCTCGTGAACCCTTGATAAATTATGAATTTTTATTATTTTCGTATCTTGCCCGATCGCTGTCTCCCTTTCCCCCACGGTTTCTGTTGTTTGTCCCCCTAGAGGGGGTGTGTGTGGTTATGGGTTCGATCATTGTGATCAATTCCCCCTTCCTCCCCTCCCTACCTTTGCCCTACCCTTCTGGTATTGCTATTCCCATTCCTGTTCCTGGATTTCGTGTGTCTTGAGTTCTTATCTCTTATCTGTACCTGTGCACATGCTCTGGTCTAACCGGAAGTGAAAGGCAGTACTGGGGTCATGAAAATGGGGGGTGAGGAAGCCTCAAGGAACCAGAGGACTATTGTGTGTTTCAATGTTGCTTTACTGCGCCCTGGTTGACTCGTCCCTTTGCTGCGACTCCTCTGTGAGGGGAATGTCCCATTGTTTACAGAAGGGTCTTGGGTTTCTGCTCCAACCCCCCTTGTTCTCAACAACATGTTTTCGTTTGCTTGTTTGTTTGTTTGTCATGGGTCTTCTGATGCCTGTTACCCGGTCCCAATGACACTGCATGATGTGCAATTCTTCCATGTGGGCTTGTTGTTTTCCTGTTGGATGGCCGCTTGTTTAAGTTCAAGTCTTTAAGACCCTGATAGCCAGGCACCACCTGCCTTCTTCACCACATTTGCATATGTACCCATTTTGTCTTCAGCGATTGTGCCGGGAGGGTGAGCCTCACACAATGCCAGTTTGTTAGAAAAAGTGTTCTTGCATTGAGGAAAGGTATGAGTCCAGGCCCAAAGTCTGTCCACTACCTCAGTGTACTGCCATATAAATATATGTACATAAGACAATACCTCTGTTTTTATGAATTAATGAGAATACATAATTTTAGGATATGTTCAGAGTGCTAAGAGGTTTAATGATACAAGCATATCACAACAAGGAAAATAAATCAAACTATATCTATTTTCTATGAAAGCAATCATGTTCATGAGTTCATGCTTAATAACTATAAAATCAAGTAAGATGATGAAGCAATGCTGTACATAAAACATTAATTATTTTCATCATATACCTCATGCATCTTCTGATATGAAGACTCTTTATCTGGGCATGAGGAGGCTTCTAAATACTCATGGAAAAGTTCCCATCTTTTATTTCAATTTTTTCATGACCTTTCTGAAGCCATCTTGTGCATTGATACATATACACATAAATATATACATACAGAGTAAACTAAGGAAAACGGTTGCAAAGAACTATGATCTTTCTCCTTCCATTCATATGCATTTCTCTTCTGTGTCCGTGAGCTTCATACCCTCCTTCCAGCATGTTTCCACATTAATAGACAATTATCTCAGAAAGTATAGTGTGTAGCAAAGAGGGATGGCACACGGGCTGATGTTCCTCAGAGCACACATGGACTATGTCTGACTCTCAAAACACAGACTTACTTTGGGAATGGAGTAATGAGAATCAGAATGGGGCAAGTGAGGGCGGGAGGCAAAATATTCAATTCTGGTGCAATACCAGTGTACCCCAGCAGGGGACAGGACAGATAAAGTTCTTCATGGAAATACTAATTTATAAATTATCAAGAGCTCATGAGGGAAGAAGGGTAGGGGAGGGAGGGAAAAATGAGGAGCTGATACCAAGGGCTCAAGTCGAAAGAAAATGTTTTGAAAATGATGATGGTAACAAATGTACAAAGCTGTTTGACACAATGGATGGATGGATGGGTTGTGATAAGAAATGTACGAGCCTCCAATAAAATGATTTTTAAAAAGAAAATAAGGAGACGAGCTAGTCAGGGTGCAGTGTAGCAACGATGAAACATACAACTTTCCTCTAGTTCTTTAATGCTTCCTTCCTTCCCCGCACCCCCACCCCCACTATCGTGATCCCAATTCTACCCCACAAATCTGGCTAGACCAGAGGATATACACTGGTACAGTTAGGAACTGGAAACTCAGGGAATCCAGGGCGGATGATCCCTTCAGGACCAGTGGTGAAAGTGGTGATACCTGGAGTGTGGAGGGAGGGTGGAGGAGAAAGGGGGAACCAATTACCAGGATCTACATATAACCTCCTGCCTGGGGAACGCACAAGATGAAAGTGGGTGAAGGGAGACGTTGGACAGGGCAAGATATGTCAAAATAATAATTTATAAGTTATCAAGGATTCGTGAGGGAGGGGGAGCAGGGAAGGAGGGGAAAAATGAGGAGCTGCTGCCAGGGGCTTACTTGGAGAGCAAATGTTTTGAGAATGATGAGGGTAACGAATGTACAAATGTGCTTTACACAATTGATGTATGTATGGATTGCGATAAGAGTTGTATGAGCCCCTAATAAAATGAATAAAAAAATAATAAGGGAAAGATAAGGGATCATTTGGAGTCCAGTTTCCAAACCACTGCTGAATTGGTATCTTCTCCCTCCCCGCCCCCCCACCCCCAACACCCGGGTGTTTGAAGTAAATGGGGAACCCTGAAAGGAACTACGGTGTGGACAGTCCATCACGTATGAACTCCAGCATTGACTGACTGGCATGATGAATCCCTTAAGCACCAGCACCGTTTCCGGGCTCGGCAAGCTTGCAGGGCCAGTGTGCAGTGCCCGCCGCGATGGTGGAGGAGCGAGCGTGACGAGTGTTCTCGCCTCCGACCGTCCTTCCTCGGCGCCTTACTTACCAGCTTCATACATGGTGTCTGCTTTGGACTTCAGTTTCACATGGAAACACAGGGTAGCCTCGATGCACACCGTTTCCTTTCCTTCCATCCGGCAGTTTTTCTTCTGAATGTTCACTTTATTGGGTTCAAAGTTCATGGTCACTTTAACTACAGCCACATCTCGGGACCTACAAACACAGACACGCCATGACATGAATTTTTGCATGAAGTGACTGTCACTTATGTGGGAGTATAAGGCGCAGGGGTCTGCTGTGGGTGGAGTGTGGGTCCTCAAGACCCCATCCGTTGGTTGCTTTCTGATACAGAAGAGACCACGCTGACGTTCTGCGGGTATCAGGCTGTTTAGAAGTCAACTTGGACTTGTGGTTAATCGACAGCCCATCGAGTCGGATGCAATATATCTGTGTTTTTATCCTTTTTTTAAAAGTCATTCCTTTATATACCTTTTTTGGTAATTTTGTAAACTTTGTAACTTTCCTTAAAAATGGACACACACATTTACCTTTAAAATTATTCTTCAGTATTTTTTTTTAGCTGACATTTTCTTTTCAAATAGAACCTTTGTTCTAGAATTGTATTTTCTAACTAATAAAGCTTACTCATTACCACTGGGCAGACTCTGACTCACAGGGATCCCTATAGGACAGGGTAGGACTGCCCCTGTGGGTTTCTGAGACTGTAACTCTTTACAGGAGTAGAAAACCTCATCTTTCTCCTGAAAGTGGCTGGTGGTTTCAAACTGCTAATCTTGTAAGGATGGCAGCCCATTGACTAATTGAATTGAGTTAAATAAATTTGGAGGATACAGGCATTTTAAAGATTGAGCTAAAATATTGCTGAAGATGGCTCTGTGCTTGAGCAGTAACAAGAATATAGTCAGTCAGTCAATGCTGTGCAATGATTTAATTCTACATCTAATTCTATTCAGTAAAATAAATGAATAATAAATTACCTGTGAAAAGTTATAAGTAATTTCAGGTCAGTGACAACTTAAAGTTAGCTGCATCTTCTATTAGACCTTCTCTATAGTGTCAAACACATCATCATAATAAAATAATAATAATAACAACATCATTGCCATTGATTTGATTCTGACTCTTAGTGACAGAGTGCAACGGCTGCTGTGGATTTCTGAGACTGTAACTCTTTTGCAGTAGCATCTTTCTCCTGCACAGCGACTGGTGGTTTCCACTTGCTGAGCTTGCAGTTAGTAGCACAATGCATAACCCACTATGCCATCAGGGCGCCTACAGTTAGGGTCCTGGAAGATCCTAGAAAAAGACCCCTGGCGGAGGACACAGAGAACTGTTTAGGCAAAGTGAGTCCTGGTCAGCTCCTTGGCTTCGACAACTAAGTAAGAGCTGCTTCTTTTACTTTTGGCAAATTTGCATCTCTGTATTTTTGTAGTGAAACCTCAAGACGAGTGAGAATTGATACCAGAGAGGATAAATATACAAGCCTTTGAAAAGTTGGAGATTCGGGACATCTTTACCTCTCTACCTCAGAGAGTTCAGACTTATGCTGATCCTGCTCAAAATAATTATTCTTGCACGGTACAGCTGTGCCTTCGGAATAAAGCACGTGAGCTCACACCCTACTCCGAATTCTGGAACTAGGCGCAATAAATTCAGATACACTGGATGCTACAAAAATACACACCAGAAGAGGGCAGCACCACCAAGGCCGCCAATAGTCACATCAGTCAGACCGTCGCCATTTAAATCCATTTCTCCGTGTATAGACTGCCCGAAAAACTTCAAGGTCTTGCCATCGCCACCAGATGGAATGCGCTGTGGAAATGACAGCAGAGGCTGAGAGTCTGTTCACAATATATGAAATAACTCTGGACAATTGAACGGGCTAACAAAAATTAAAATGAAAGGTCTTTTGAAAACTTGCCCATGAAATCCCTCATGTGGAATTAAGAGGAAATACTCAGATGTTCCTAGGATAATCTTTTTAGAGGACAGACAAAGCCATTTTAGCTTTTCTAAAACCGGAGAAAAAGGTGTATGGGGGCAGGAGGAACAATTCTCTAATGCCATCTTATCTAATCATCCAGGAGGATCTGACTAACTGGCTTTGCTTTCCACATCCTGTTCAGTTCCTTTGGCATGTCGTTGTTAGGCGCCATTGAATCGGTTCCGACC